TTGACTTTGGGGGTTGAATAATTTTGTACATTAATGTTTAGAGCCAATTTGATTTTTATCATTTTTTATCAACTTGACATTCTCTGAATCCCTCAAATGTGTATTAATAAACTTTTTTTTACTGAAGCCTTTGTTGAATTGTTTTCGTAAAATGTAGTTCTCGGCAGCAAAATGTCTTTCAGGTCAAGGGGGTTGAATAATTTTGATCGCAACTGTATACAGGTCACGGCGGGCAAAATGCAACTTCTTGTAAAAGTGTGTTCTATTCATGTTAAATTAGTTTCAGTTCAGGTTTTTTCACACAGTGGACAAATTACAGGAACCATTCAAGTATTCGGAACATAAAATAAAACTTTAGTTCGTTGCTCATCACAGTGACTCATGATTCATCCAGGTTTCAAAAGTGTTGACAGTTTTTCCATCATCATAGGTGCCAAAGGGATATTTTCCTCATATTATTATTGACGTAATGTAGAGCAGAAGTGGACAGAACGTACTGGACAGGTGCCCATGAGCCACTGGAGTCTTCATTACAGTGGACAGAGCACCTGTTCAGGTCTAGTGGGATTCAAACTTGTGGAACATAAACAGAAAAGGTGTTTCCCAAATGTAGATTCCCGATTGGTACTACATCACCCACTGTCAAAGAAAGTTTAGATATGGTTGGGTGAATTCTTCTATCCCCATTCTATGATTCTTTTAAAGTCCTGTAAATGAGGAGTGCATTAAACAGAGAGCGTTTGATGGCCAAAAAAAGAAGATAATTTTGGACTTATATTTTTGATAGAACAGAATTATAGAACGTATACATATGGTCACATTTAAATGCATACATTGGAAAGAATTTACAGGGAAATTTCTAAGTTTAAAAATCAGCAGTACCAGGGATGCATGATTTAAAAAATGATAAAAAGGATTGAAAAATACAGTTCTTTTTCTTTTCTATTGGAAAATTTAATTGGAAATCTAAAGTAAAACTCACCATGTTTTTACAACTCAGGAATACAATCTTGCATTCTGAATTTACTATTAATGTTGACAGTTATTGCAATTTCAAATTTGTCTTTTATTTAATGGTAATGGTCCAAAAGTGACTGGGCAAATATCTCAAATCTTACCATATTAAGAGAAAACACCATCAGGATAACAAAACACACTATGATCACACAACACAATAAGAACAAACAGAACAAATCGGAGATGGGAAAGCCCTTTTATTTATTGTTTGATCTGATATAGAGTTTATAGAGAGGCTTTGAAAAGATACCTCATGAAGCTCATAAGACTGGAAACTATGTGGATCTTTAGTGGTGTTAATAATAATAATAATAATAATTCATCACATTTATATAGCGCTTTTCTGGACACTCAAAGCGCTTCACATAGAAGGGAGAATCCCCTCAACCACCACCAATGTGCAGCATCCACCTGGATGATGCGACGGCAGCCATATTGCGCCAGAACGCTCACCACACACCAGCTTACTGGTGTTATCATATTTTATTTGTTTATAGTACCGTAATACAAATTATTTCTGACCTTTTTCTCATGTTAAGTATTGTTATTGTTTTTATTATTTGCATATACCATAGATCATTAGGAGTTTCACACACTTTAGTTTATGCTCCAAACATAGTATTTAATTAATATGAAGGTTATGCGTTAATGTTTTTGACCACTTAGCCTTTGTGGTTATTTATTCTACAGTAAGTGTGCAAGCATCCTTTTTTCTTATGGTTAATGACATTATCTGATCCTGCACCTTACAGAAAACTATTTGATGTGCATAGAAAAGAACATGTTCAACACTATTTGAACCTGTCATTACCAAACTGCAGTTACGCTTCTGCCGTAAAAAGGTCAAAAATAGTTGTAACTACTGATGCATGCATACAAATTTTACAAAAATATAAATACTAACCTGTGCCTTAAGCTGATGTTATGTTCATGACATAGTCAAACCAAAATGTATTCAGACACATTCAACATTTCTCACATTATCACAGTTTATTCTAGTTTAGAAAATGGTAATACATTATGACAAGAACTCAGAGTTATAAGATCAGTTAATATTTCAATGGTTCTGGCCATCCTTCTGTTAGACTCTCACAGATTAATAAGGTTTAATAGCTGTCAGCTGTTAAATTTAAGTACACAATTAGATAATACCAGTTTAGCTCAACCGATTACCAAGCAATGCTTAATGTTGTTTAGTATGTGGTGTAAAAAGGTTGCATTAGCAATTAAAGAAAAAACACTTCAGCAAAACATGGTCAGGTCAAAGTGAATAAATTGGGGTCCCAATTTTTTTTTTTTTACATTTTACTGGTAGTCACTGTATGAAGAATATTTAGGTATATGTCACAGTTTACTTTATTTTGCTATCCTCACTTTCATACAGTAAATTAACGTCTAGGTTACGACTGTAACCTCTGTTCCCTGAGAACAGGGAACGAGACACTGCGTCGATGAAGCTATGGGGAACGCCCTCCGCGTGAACCGGTGTCTGAAAAGCTATCCAATCACGGCAATCGAATTTGACCAGCGATGGCCTATGACGTCATTACTAATGCACCCGGAAGTATAAAAGAGGCGCCTAGAGAACATGTCATCCACTTTCGTCTGAAGGGACTGTTCAGCATGCATCCCCGAGGCATGGCTAACGACGCAGTGTCTCGTTCCCTGTTCTCAGGGAACAGAGGTTACAGTCGTAACCTAGATGTTCCCTTTCGAAAGAGAACTCGCACTGCGTCGATGACGCTATGGCAAATGTCAGAACTGGCAGTTTTCAACCTGAAATGCCAAGAAAACACTCCCCATTCAGGTAACTAGGCTGTCAGTGACATTATTCCCTATGGTCACTGCCCAAGCTATAAGCCTCAAAGAGGCCTCCAAACAAGGAAAAGCCTACATTTAGCCTAGGCTCTAAGGGAGTGTACTCAAACCCGTCCCAAATGGAAGGGAGTACTAAAGTGAGCCCCAGTGGTGCAGGGCGAATAAACTAAAGCTGTGGGTAGCCAAAAAAACACTACGCCCAAGGGAAATGGAGGCCTCAGCTATGAGACCAACAACATTTTCACCTTATGACTTGAAAATTCAAGTTTCTAGCAGATCGTCTAAACCAGATATTAAGGCAGCCCTCGTGGGGATGACACTTGAATATCCTGTGACTGAAGTTCAAAGCTATAGTTTCATAACAACTCTCAGAAGACCTGCTATACAAATACAAGATGGTTATCCAGGTGGCCCGAACTTGGTTGATCTATCTGGAGCTTTATACAAAGCGGTGGCCTCAGGAGAAAACCCCCAAATGGGAGGAAGCCATCTCATGCTGAACAAAACCGGTTTGAAGCTCTCGTGCACGGTGGCCTCACTAGAGATTTCTCTATGATATGAAGCCAACCTGTACATCACTGGGTGAACAAGATAAGGTATGCAAGCCTACCTATAAAAAAGGAACTTCAGGGCCCTAATTTCCTAATTTTAATATCCTATCAAACATACCCCTTAATACTTTCTTAACAGGGAACCGAGGTCTAAAGTTAAACAACCTTATTATAAAGACCTACCAAGATCATCCTGCTGCTTATAGAGCGGCTGCCTAAATTGTATTCTTCGAATGAAGGCCTACCACCCAAAAGCTAGAAAGGGTGTGCTCACTACCAAGCCCGACTCCAGACCTTCAGAAGCATTCCGTTTAAGGGGAAAATATCATCATCGGTCCAGGCCTCAGGCCTGATGTAAGAAGTGCCTATGGTAAAGAAAATAGAGAGTGATAGAAAGAGTGAGAGAAAGAAGTGAGAGAAAGAAGAGAGGAGAAGGGTGGTTGTTATTCACCCTCAGAGGAAGGGGATCCTTCACTGACACTGGGAGCGCCTGTGCTGGATCAAGGGATCCCTCTTCTTCCTTGAGTCGCTTTTAGTGCCAATGCCTCTCCAGCAGTGAGATAGTTCGTGAACGTCTGGTCGATTGGGGGCATTGACACATACCCATGTTCACGCATCCCCTCGACATAAGCGTAGTTTGCTCGCTGCTGACGATGGATGCGTGCATAATATGGGTTCTTCCATGCCTTCTTGATCTCAGTTTGCAGATCAGGAAGGAATGGAAGGCTGACGGTAGCGAACGGTTCCTTCCTTCACGCGCTCCCACGTCAACTGAAGCCTCGCTGAAGCGCGCTCCATAACACCCAACAGCTCATCATACGCGGGGCAGGGAGGATGTGAGAGTTCAGGTTGTACCTCTTCTTTACCCTCATCAGCCATCTCCTGCTCTCTCGGGCTAGGTGCCAGCAGAGCACTTGCTGCTGGATCAGAAAATGTAAGAGATAACACATCCTCGTCCAGCAGCTCATTCTCGTGAGCTTCTGATGGGATTGAGAGAGAAACACCTCTCTGGGAACCCCATGATCCGAGCCTCCGCCGTGCTTCAGCACGAGCGGGACCCGAACCACTGGGCCCAGATGCCTGTCCCTCTTTCCTCGAGAAGAGGGCCAGACGAGAGCGTTCTTAAAGGAAAACTCTCACATTCTGCACAGTCAGGTCTCTCGAGAGCTGATCGTGCGTGCTCTTTGCCCAAACAGTAAATGCACAAGTTGTGTGTGTCATAGTGTCAGATACCTGAGACATGAATCCACACACTTCTTGAAACGCTTATCACTTACTATAATTGTTCTTATCTTTTTTAGGTGATTGCAAATCAGATAAAACGGTCCCTGAAGGTTCTCTAAGCACCCCTTTTATACTTTGCACTAGTAGTGACGTCATAGGCTGTCGCCGTTCAAATTCGATTGCCGTGATTGGATAGCTTTTCAGACACCGGTTCACGTGGAGGGCGTTCCCCATAGCGCCATCGACGCAGTGCGAGTTCACTTTCAAAAGGGAACTATAGTGTCCTGCACCCACTAGTAAAAAAAAACATCAAATTATATCTGGTGTCTCAGTAATTTGTGGTTTGACTGTATATGACATTTAAAATTGTTTGTGTGTATGATGCTTTAGGCCTTAGGAAATCATGAGTTTGACAATGGAGTGGACGGCCTCGTGAAACCTTTTCTTCAGAAAGTGAACTGCACTGTTCTCAGCGCAAATATTAAAGCCGATCAGACAATTGCTCCTCAGATCAGCGGCTACTATCTCCCATATAAAATCTTCAATGTTAACTCGGAGAAAGTAGGTGTTGTTGGCTACACATCAATGGAGACCCCTGCTTTGTCTCTACCAGGTAAGATACTTTATTACACTCAGTTATATCCAGGCCAGGTTTACACATAATGTTGCAAATCACACTCTTAAAAACATTTAAAATTACCCGTGCCTTACGAAGGAGAAACGAATGTTTAAAAAAAAAAAAAAAAGTATGTTGGCGGTTTGTTATTAAGTACAAAGGTGAAATGTGTAATTTTGAATGGCTTATAGTTGTCTCTTTGTGTTAAAGCAGGCTAGTAGCAAGAACAAAAAATCTGACATTTCAAGTGCATACCCTTATGCTAAGAACATTTTTATTGATCGATATATTAAATTGTTTTATGAATTGAAAAATATACAGAACAATATATTGCGTTACAGTACTATATTACAGTATATTGAATAATTGATAAGGAATTGCCACTTTTCATTTATTTAAAAATATGTGTATTCAAGTTTTTTTCACTCAATAGGCTTTATGCACAGCTGCACTACTTCCTGAACTTCAGCCAGCTCCTTTGTTTCCTGTCTGCCATTATTGGACAAACTGATGAATCCAGGTGTGCCTGATTATTGTTACTGAGACCAGGCACACCTGGATTAATCAGTTTGTCCTTTTGTATTTACCTAATTTTAAGACCTGCTAACGACCAGATGATTTTTTTATTATGTTCTGATATGTAAAACCATAAAATTATAAAACGAGTCCTTTCTTTTTCACATGACTGTATATAAATATATATATCTAAAATGTGGATTTTGTATTACCTGAATTTTCTGGGAGTTAATTTCAGGTGGAAAATTCTGGACTCTTTCCCCCGGTTTCACAGACAGGGCTTAAGCTAGTCCCGGACTAAAATGCATGTCTGAGCTGTTTTAACTCAAAACAACTTGCACTGAGATATCTTCAAATATGTCACTGCCATTGTTTTGTCTCAAGATGCACACCAGTAATGTTTTTTTCTAAGGCAAGGCACGTTTATAAAAGCTACTAAGATGTTCTAATTGAACTAAGGCCTAGACCTAGCATAGTCTAAGCCTTGTCTGAGAAACCGGGCATATGTGTACGTAATCTAAAAGGCTCCTTTTAGATTACGTAATCTAAAAGGCTAAAAGGCTCCTCCCCTATTTTCAAATCATACATGACCACATTGAATATAGGCTACTCTAGGATACTATGTTTCCTTATATCATGCACATCAAGAAATGCACTGACACACAAAAAATCTAGCTGTTTTTGCAGAATGGAATGGCTATAATGTTCTGTTGTTCAATCAAACTTTTGTCATTTATATCCTTTCTATCCAAAGCCATGGCACCGACAAATAAAGCTTTAATCTCCTCTTCTATAACCCCAGGTTTAGCGTCTTAGTGTTACTATCATTCTACCTCCGCTAAGCCCATATCTGTTGATCACGTTCAAGTGAGAGTGACTGACCAGCCTGGTGGCACATTTAAACAGATTAGGGTAGATAGATTGATATGCAGGTTATGTTACCCTGCAGTAATATGATGGTGTTTTTTCCATATTTATATGGTTTTACAGGCCCTCATCTCTATTTTGAGGATGAGGTTACTACTTTACAGCTTCAAGTGGACAAGCTCACTGCTTTGGGAGTTAATAAGATCATTGCCCTTGGACATTCTGGCTTCGCGGTGGACAAAATGATTGCAAAGAAAGTTCGGGGAGTGGATGTTGTGATTGGAGGGCACACCAATACATTCTTATTCACAGGTATGTATTGCCGCAATGTGCGTGAGTTATATGTATATTTATTACTCATCCAGGAACGTCAGTTTACACTTTTCTCATCGTTTACTTGCGCTGATGTTTTTCTTTCTTCCGCGGAGCACAATAGTAGGGTGCAACAGGGCTAAAGGCACACTTTAAGGTAAATGTGCTTTTCACTAATCCCATAGTGTACGATTGCAGAGAAACTATATTTTTTCCAAGACAATCACTTCTGTAAAAGTTTGCACTATTTTCTGTTTATTTTGATTAAAAAAAATCTGAATTTGAAAAATATTCTAAAAGCTTTTTACACTTCTTCAAGGAGATCCCATAATATTTGAATATGGCTTCAACAATAACAAGGTATTAACAATAAATATATTATTTTATTATATGATATAGTTAATGTAATATTGTTAAATATGACTGTTTCATTAAAAATATGGTAATCATCTCTAAGGAGGACAACCAATGATATTAACAGACCTGCAAACTCACAAGAGGTGAAAAAGGTGACATGTTCACGAATCCTTCCACGGCGTCCTTCTCCAGAAGAAAGGTTTTGGGATTTAACATGTAAACGAAGCATTCTGGTTCACTCTAACAAGCAAAAAAAAAAGGGGAAAGACCCCATTTGTTTCAAGTAAAAAAACACATTTATTGACCCTAGGGCTGGGCATTGACACAAATTTCACATGGTTGATTCAATATCGATTAATTTGGTGCCTATTAACTACAGTGCATGGCAAATTTCCTTTAAAGAAAAAAAATATCTCTCAAACTAATGCTGTAAACTATACATGGAACTCCAGTTGGTACATTCAGTAAGTATAATATTCTATGCAGGATTTGTCATGGCAGAAAGCGTGGTCCCTTTGTAATCACTAAAAAGCTGTCACTCATCTTAGTTCATCTCACAAAGTTCTGTTATAATCAATGAAGCTGTCTACACTGCACAATGAGAGCAGAATTAACTAGGGATGCACCGATACCACTTTTTCCAGAATGAGATTGACCGCTGTTACGACCGCTAGGAAAAAGGAAGAGAGTCACACTACCAGAGAGATGACATAATATGAGCTTTATTTACCATGAAGGGTTTAGACAAGGGGCAGACAAGGCCAAACTAACAAACAAAACAATCTTTTTTGAACCTAATTGACCTCAGACAAAAGATAAACAAAAATACAGTTTAACTTATACCTAACTCCCTTAACCATAATCAAGGAGAAAAAGAGATACAAATAAATTGGCGTCAAACCCCCTACATCCCTTAATCTGGTCAAAATTTATATAAAAAAATATGTACACACTTATTAACAAAGCCTCAGGTCGACAAGTTAGAATCGGCAGTTAAAGGAGAATATCAGAAGTAGGATTACAATCAACAAACACTCACTTACAGGTTCACTAAACACTAACAATCTCTCTGGCACGACACTCTTACTCAATTAAACAATGGCGAAACGAACAAAGGTGAAGAGAAGCACAATCAAATAGTGCGACCGCGAAGCACATAAAGCATAAACGCTCAAAGTCATCGAGGCTCAAGGGCGTCCAATGAGTGTTTGGGGCGGTCCTTATATCCGGGTCAGGTGCATAGCAGGACCAATCACAGTCTTCCACAGGTTAACAGAGGTAACGCCCATCAGAAACACAAACATGTCTACACACAGAGAGAGAGAAACAATATACACACAAGGACAGTTGATATAAACACACAAAATATCTCAGGGTCCTAACAGATACTTTCATTTTTGGTACTCGAGTATACCGAGTACCTGTATTTTCATTGCATTTGAATTTTTTTAATATAATTGAAAGATACAATTTAAATATAATAATTTAAATATTGCCTAATATATATATATATATATATATATTTAAAATATTAGGTAGAGGAACCAAAAGAATATGAATCATATTAGTTGTCTTAATTCATTTAGCAAATAGATGTTTCCTTCAGTTATTTTCATTATTGTGCCTGTAAAAATGTATTGTACGAGATTCTGTTAGCGTTCTGTTCTGTTCACTGTTCTCTCTATTGCACTATTATATTTCATCTACAGCGCTCAATCCACTTCGCGTGCTTCAGTTATCAGCTTGCGCACAGTGAGTACAGGCTATAAAGTGTACAGGCCTAAATATTGAATTTATGCTTAATATTCTATTAATTAGATACATTTATTACATAGACTAGACATATTTAATCTCTGATATCTACCGATGTTTCTTTTTCTGGACACAAACACTGTACTGTACACATGCTGCGTGGTATCGGTTTTTGGTATCAGAGCATTTGAATGGGTAGGAGTACACGAGCACAGTATCGGTATCAGTGCATCCCTAGTGCTAACTTAAACATCTCTGATTGGCCATTGCGTTCAAGAAATCAACAGATATTTTGTGATTGGCAACACCTTCAACTCTTCCTCATGTTACTATTCCTGAACAATGTGAGCAGTGTGGCAGGTTTCATTATCCTGCTGAAAGAGGCCGCTTCCACCAGGGAACATCTTTGTCATGAAGGGTCCACATGAATGGCCGGACCCATGGTTTCCCAGCAGAGTTCCCAGTTGGTTCTCACCACTGATGACCAGGAGGAACCCACAAGCCTTGTTATTTCAGAGATACTCTGATCCAGTCGCCTTGCCATAACAGTTTGGTCCTTGTCAAAGTCGCTCAGATCTTTATTCCTGCTCATTTATCCTGCATCCAACACACTGATTATGAGAACTGATTGTGTCCTGATGGTTTGTCTACACAAACTTTAATATATGGCCTTGTTTGAAAATGATTAACGATATTCACCTGTGACTGGCCATATACAGTATGTATGTGTGTGTGTGTGTATATATATATATACACACACACACCAGTGTAAATGCTGTGGACCACAGCCTCCAGCACTGCACATATCATGATTACCCATGAGGAAGATTTTCTGAACTGAATTGTGCTGTATTTGTTGTTGTTGTACAGTTAAATGTTCATATAGTCTAAAGAAAGAGGTCCACACGGTTTCACCAGATCCACAAATTAGAAGATAATTTGTGTATAATTTTATTCGTTGAAGAGTTGGGACTGTTTATTCCCACTCATGATTAGAACAAGAACTCTAAGTGAGTAAACTCTGTGTCAGGGCTGCAGTCTCTTGGATCTTGTATTTCTGCACAGTTTCTCAGAAATTACAGTGGTTATAGTGTATGCACAGGTGAATTTGCTATGCTGATCTCACAACAAACAAAGTGACGGCTATACGCCTCTATTTCCACTGTCATTAAATTTGATTAACCTGTGTATTGATAAAAGACATGAGCTTTGTGACCACAATGGGCACTGGATGGATTAAAGGTGAAAATGCATTTTATGTTTTATTTTGACCCAACCAGAACAATGCTGACATGAAAGTTTCCTTTTACTCCAGAAACTGGTCAGGCCGCCAAGTAATGCTCTTTAGCATTTTACTCAGCCCTGTTGCAGCCTTTGTGTTGTCTAGGCAAGCATCACCATTACCACTGTTCATACTGAATAAACCACTAATACCACATAATACCGGAGTATTATACCTGGGTGTTCATGTTTGTCCTTTGGGCATGGATGATGCCACAAATCATGTGATTTGCTGAGAAGATGGTTAAAAAATAAAAAACCCATGCACAGACATACATTAAAGTTGAGACCCAAGCCATATCTACACAGCAAAATATATTTGAGACTTGGAGGTGGAGACTTTTGTTGTTATTAGTGAGAATACAATTTTTTCATGTGCTTAACATGTAATTTAACAAACAATCTACAAACCATATTGCTTGAAAGTATGGGTGGACATAAATTCTAAAAATATTAGTTAGCATTGCTATTGGTTGTTACCTACAACAACCAACATGCTACATGTACTTTGTAATAACAGTAAATTATACACAATTAAGCAACTAAACATAAACCAAACCATATAAGTACATGTCCTTGTTACAATGAAATAACACATTTAAGTAATATTAATTACCAACATCTTAAATAAGTGTAACTCAAACGTTGCACTAAAGCAAAAGATATAAATAACCACCTTGAAACAAATGTTTTTTGTGAACCATCTAACGTGCCTTAGACATTTGCACAGTACCAATACTGTATTTGATTTACATATTTACATTTTGTGTGCTCATCTCTGTAGGAGATCCCCCATCCACAGAGGTTCCTGCAGGATCATATCCGTTCATGGTCGATTCTGAGGATGGGCGTCAGGTTCCTGTGGTCCAGGCCTATGCATTTGGAAAATATCTGGGATTCCTAAAAGTGACTTTTGATTCAAATGGAAATGTGGTGAAATATTCAGGCAACCCAATTCTTCTGAATAGCTCAGTAACACCAGGTAAGGAAACTCGAAACATTGAAACAGGCCAGGGAATTTAAGGCACTTGGTAAATCAATAGAGCATATAGGACACTAGGCTTCCAGAAGTAAAAATTCAACCATGGAGGATTTTTATGCTCAATGGCTGAATTCTGAGGAAGAATTTGCTGCTAGCATGAAAATAAAATTTGTAACAAAGGAGTTGAGCAGCAGCCTTCAAAGCTTTGCCGATGATGTTATTGAGTCGGTCTTTACCAACAGATATACAATTTCATGATTAATGACTACAAGTCAGTGGTTTTATATTGTTTTATTTTATTTTTATTGTCAGTGCTTCATGGGAAGATAACTTCCTGCCCGAATACAAGAAATATCTTGTTTTTCTGGATTTTTCCAGATTTGCATCTAGTTTGTAATGTTGTGATTTATCTTGGAGCTGTTTGGTTTAGTTCAAGTCTTAGAACTCTTGATTGAAGAATTTTTCTGAATCCTTTTGGAGAACATGAACCGGAAATATACTTCTGAACCAGGACCACTGAAAATGTGGACCCACCGCTCTGCACATTTTGTTCGTCTCCCTTATTAAACACACCTGATTCAGATCATCAGTTCGTTAAAGAGCTCCATGAACTGAACTGAGTGTCAGATAAGAGAGACATACAAAATGTGCAGAGCGGTGGATCCCCAGGACTGAGTTGGGAACTGCTGTAGTAAACTGCTATAATAGGCATGTCCATCCTGCTCCTGAATTAGCCCTAGACTACCCTAATTAAACACACCTGAACCAGCTAATCAAGGTCTTCAGGATTACGAGGGCTGCGTCCGAACACTTAGGAAGTTCGCTGCTCTATCAGGCATTGACTTTGCTGGCAGCGTTTGCCGACAAAGGCACCTCACGAAAATGATTTCAGACAATCTTCTGAGGAGGTGTAACGGTTTAATGATCTACAGCAAAATAGAGAGAGTGTTGGAGCGGGTTGGACGTTGACCGACCAGGAGGAGGATTGGACACCCCTGTACTATAATCTGCCTATCAGATGTGATGCATTACTGTTGTGGATTGCCCTTTTGATATGTCAGTTTCAACCTATGATCCGACTTTGTCTAGATCCAGACATTCAGGCTGAAGTGGACAATTGGAGGAAGAATCTGGCCAATTACTCTTCCCAGTATGTAGGACAGACTCTTGTCTATCTCAATGGAACTTTTGAGGAATGTCGATTTCGTGAATGTAATTTGGGAAATTTAATCTGTGATGCCATGGTGAGTGAATAGGTCTATGATTTTAAAGATAAATTTGCTGTTAAAGTTTGGTGGAATTTTCTACAACATTATTTAGCATATTGTTCTTCATAAGGACTACTCTAGATGGGACAAATTCTACATTTACTCTACAAACAATTATGAACACACATTTCAATCTCAATGCCTACAAATGCATTCAGTGATAACCTCCTGGAACTAAGGAATAGACTTTTGTCCACTGTAGTGGACATTATATTTTAGTTTTTAGGTTTAGGTTTTAAGAATGGATGCCGGTAAAGAGCACATTCAGGGCTTTTCAGAGACACCAAATGTTTGGAGGGTTCGCCAAGACACTTACTTCCGTTTGGTCTTTACAGAACACAGGGCATTGATTTCATACATGTCCACTGTAGAGGACACCAGGACTTAAAGGAGTAGTTCACCTTAAAATGAAAAATCACCCCATGATTTACTCACCCTCAAGCCATCCTAGGTGTATATGAGTTATATTAATAAACACCCTGTTGTTCCGAGCTACATAATGGCAGTGGATTGCAACCATCAGTTTGAAGCTCAAAAAAGTGCATCCACCCATCATAAAAGTGCTAAACTAAATAAAACTAAAAAATAACATTAAACAGTAAAGTTTTATTCTTCATATTAGATATTATGAAAATGTTGGCAATTATTACTGCCATTATTACACTTCTTTTTTCATTACATGTTGCCCCAAGAACACATTAATATGCTAATAGAGTATAGATACATTGTATTGAATGGGACTGCCCATTTATGGCCATTTTACCCACATATTGCATTAAGTAAAATGGTATATCAATTAATTCTGTTATATCTGAGAATCATCTTTATACAAAGTTTGGTTTAAAAAAATCCTGAAACCTAAAAAGTGATTTATTTATTTTTTGCCTGTAAATGTCTTTTCAGTCCTGGTGTCAATTACAGTGGACATCGCATAACATATGAATAAAATATATTTTAAAAAAATTCCCATTAATTTTTTTATGCTCTAAACCAGTGTTTCCCAAACCTGTTCCTGGAGGCATAGCAACACTACACATTTCCCAACTCTTCCTAATCAATCACACCTAAATCATCTCATCAGCTTGTTAGTAGAGACTCCAAAACCAGAAATATATGGGCCAGATAAAGGAGATATCCAAAATGTGCACTGTTGGTGTGCCTCCAGGAGCAGGGTTGGGAAACACTGCGCTAATCAGCCAACCACTGAGCTGAACAAGAACCCTGCCAGCAACATGCAGCTTTAAAATAAGATAACATAAAAAACTGAAACGCCAGACATGCTAAAACTTCACACACATTCTTCAGTATGCACTGCAGTGACAAACCATGTGGTTTTTTGAATGGTATTAACATTTGTCTTGTCTGACCACCTGTGATTAGATCACTGGACACAGTTGTTCCTATCAGGTGCAAAAAGACACACATTGTAAAACAATCTTTGTACCTGAAACAGTTGAATAAAAAATGTGACAAAAAAAAAGCTTAAAACCAAAATGCCCAGCTCTAAAACCACAAACAACGGCCTCAAAGGTAAATATTGAAACTAAGAACCCAAAGAGCAAAATTTGAACCAGTGGAAAAGTGAAAATAGAAATTCAAAGTAAATGGTAAGTTAGAGTCCTTTCAGCCTTAAACAGAACTGATATTCTATTGAAGGTAAAACAAAGCGATAGATTTGCTGTTAATCTTGCCCTTAAACCCATAGGATTACCCTCTTTGCTTGTATTTCAGGTCCATACTAATATCAAACATGCTGATGAAACCCGGTGGAACCATGTCAGCTCTTGTATTCTGAACGGTGGAGGCATTCGATCAGCTATTGATGAGCGAAACAGAAATGGTATGGTCATTCTAGCCTGGGAAAACCCAGACAACTTCCGGCAAATTTAGATTTGCTCTGAAAGTTAGTCTGGCAAAGAGCTCATTCAAGCTCATTTCCAATCCGCCGAAATCGCGGCACCAATCAGAAGCGTTGGGGCGGGCTTTACACGATGACGACAGCGCTGGGATTTTGAAGCAGATTTTGTAGCCTACATTACAAAGATGGATGCCGCCGTCGAACATCACTCGTTCCAATCAGCTATTGCGTCTGTTTTAAGCCATTTAAACGTTTCCTTTTAGTTAAAAACCGAGCAAAGAACAACACTCGGAGATGTGTCTCCGCCGCTCTGCATACGTCATCTCCTTCATCGCTCTGATTGGTTTTAGCTCTATCCGCGACGTCCGTTGGTGACGCCCCTCTGGAAATGATTTGCAAATAAGAAATAATATTGAAACAGTCCTAATGCGTGTTTCGATTGAAGGTTCCATCACCATGGAGGACCTGATCTCGGTGTTGCCGTTTGGGGGCACATTTGACCTGGTCCAAATGAATGGATCTGCTCTGCGAGAGGTCTTTGAGCACTCAGTTCACAGATACGGACAAAGCACTGGAGAATTCCTACAGGTGTCAGGTATTGTTACCGTACATTGTGAACTTCTTGTAAACTCTTAACATTTGAGCACTGGAATACCATTGTCAAGTGCTCAAAATGACATATAAACACCACAATGACTGGTGCGTTAATTAAGATGAAGCAATAGAACTGTTTATAATTCCTCCGCAGGTTTTCAGCTGGTGTATGATATATCAAAACTGCCTGGAAACCGTGTTAAAAGTGTGAACGTGCTCTGCACTGAGTGTCGAGTGCCCCGTTATGAACCGCTCAACCCCAAGAAGGTGTATAAAGTGGTGCTGCCCTCTTACCTAGTGGACGGAGGAGATGGATACTCTATGATCAAAGACCAGAAACTCAAACATGACAGTGGTAAGTCCCCATGTATGCTTATACCATGGTCTGTCTGAATACTCGATTCTGATTGGCTGAAAGGCGTGCAATAAAACCGTCTAATGCACAGGTAGTTCAAGTCACCATTCTATATTAATGTGCTGTTTTCATTGAAGCACACACATACGTCACTCACACACTTTGCACACACACAAACATTCATGAGCACAGAAACTTACCAACGCTGTCCCGTGACTTTTAGTAATTAAATAGCTTTGCTACTGAATTGCTACATTATATTTCTCAGCAACGAGGGGGTTACATCGCTGGTTTTGAAGTAATTAAACTCACAGCTTCATTGCTAATAGAGTGAGACGCTAAACAGATGCGGGTACGAATCTCTCTCTCTCTCTTGATAAGTGTTCGTTCGTTGGCCAGAGGAGAACTGAGACTGAGTCTGGTTTCTCGCAACGTTTTTTTCTCCATTCTGTCGCCTGATGGAGTTTTGGTTCCTCGCCTCTGTTGCCTTTTTCAGCTTTGTGGCTTGCTTAGTTGGGGACATTAAATTTAACATTTATTTTAATATTCAACAATAATATTGATCTGCCTGTATATTGACACTACTAAACTGTATGAGAACTGAACTGAGCTGGACGATGACATCACAGTTTTCTCCAGAGCGGCTACATCTATATATATAAATGAACTAAATTAATAACTTTACAACAAAAATGAAACATCACTGAACTTACTTAAGCTGGACTGTGACACTATTTTCTTCTAGAAACAAACTTTGTTGCATTATTTTCCTGTTATCTCTGTAAAGCTGCTTTGAAACACTCTGTATTGTAAAAAGCGCCATATAAATAAATGTGACTTGACTTAATCTTACGCACCACTCTAGTGCTAGATCTAACGAGCCGTAACTGAAGAAAATAACCGCCAATTTTACCCTTCCGGTCAAATATTGCCCTGCAAACATCAATAACAGCTTTAAGTTGTAAATGCTGTCAAAAGACTGTGGTATAATTGGGATAATCTACAGCTAGCTGTGCATTAAGTAAGGGATAAAGTACATCCAGCCGGTTGTTATCTCAGAATAAACCCCGACAGGGTGATCAGGACTTGATCAGGTCTTCCATCAGCCTGAAGGAGTTTATCCTGATATAACAACCGCCTGGATGTACTTTATCCCGCTTATCAAACGGCTACTTGCCACAAGTAAAAAATTAGACACGAAATATTGATCTAAGACTCAATATTTTATTAGGTCTTTAAAGGGTAGCTCAACCATTGGTCAGAGCGTGATTCGTCCCACTGGCAATATTTGAAAAATGCTGGAAAAGTGCGGAGCTGACGGGCGGCGTGCACCTGAGACCCGTGTCTCTCTGTAGGCAAGGGCCCGGGGAGCTGGTGCCTGCACACGGCACACGGCAGCACAACTTCCAATAGGAAAATTCAACTGCAGTAGCCACCGTTCAACCTGAAGAGGGCAGTACTCAAACGTTTTTACACCATATATTGTAGAATTAAAACACTTTGTATTTACTCGAATCAATGAACAGCACTAATAAAGCCCCAGTCTTACAGATCATTAACTAAAAAAAGTTGTTATAGGGTTTAGTTACCCTTTAAACGCAAAGCTTTCGCGGAGAGAGCAGTTGCTAGAGCGGCAAGTTCAAAATAGATGGACATTTAAGGGATACGGTATACAGTCATACCACTTATTACACAGCATTTCACCACATAAATAATTATGGAGATAAGAGATATTGATTTGAGATTAAACTGTTTTAAAATCGTACCTGTTTGTTATCCTATAATCCAACAGTGTACAAAACAATAGTCACAAAATGGCTGCCGCTGCGTTTGTATGAAACAAGAGAGGGCGAGTCCACGATGCTGGATGACATAAATAACTGTACACAAAATATTGAGTTTTATTAGCTCACCAAACGCAAAACTTTCACGAAGAAAAAACGTTCAAGTGTAAAGCGCTGCTGACTTCAGGGAGCCGGATGAGCCTGTGTTTCTGTTTTTAGCGATTGTTATTTAGGAATAACACACCGCTGGATGGCGCGATTGACCAATCAGAATCAAGTATTCCACAGAGCCATGTAATAAATGATTTTAATCCACTTTGCCTTCAGGTCGTACATTAAAATCGTTTATTGCACAGCTAGCCGTGGATTATCCCTTACATATATGCAGATTTAACTGCATATTTTATCATATATTTAGTATTACAATGTACTATGTACTGTATTCCACAGGCGACCTGGATATCGCAGTTGTTGCCAGCTACATCTCAGAGAGAAAGAGAGTTCATCCAGTTGTGGAAGGACGTATTCAGTTTTCCAGCTCTTGCATTGGACATCGAGGATACATGCCCATCATTCTGCTGGTGTGGGCTCTCTGGGTCATGATTGTTTAGCCAGTCAGATTACTTCCAATGCACTTGTGTAACAACATGTAGCGTCAGAGGAAAACAAGAAACCTTTAACCCAAAGACTAGTTGCCTTCATAGAAGTAAACGGTTCAGATTAACTGACAATTAACACTGTGATCTAGTAAGGATAAAGGAACGGCACTCGTCTTGTTGCACGAGTTGATATTAGAGCAATACAGAGATCTTCTATACAGGCATTTACTACACCTCTTCATAGATAAAAGTCACAGAATCCATAAGAGGGTATACTATGAGAAATCTCAACAAGAAATGTTCAGGTCATTTATCAACCCAGAATGATTTTTTGCTTAAACATACCTATTTTAAGTCCATTAAGATATTTTTGTGATGATATTTATGACGATTCAAATTCTCATTATTACAATGTGAAAATAAAACTACGGTGTAAAGCAGAAATACATAATGGTAGTGTGATTTAATTCATGCTGACTTTCTTAGCCGGATGTTTTTTATTGTTTTGTATTTCAGTAATACATTTTACACAATTAATACAGTTTTGTTTTTAACTCTTTCCCCGCCAACGTTTTTTTAAAAAGAGGTTAAAATTTCCATGGCCTCCCCAAATATTTTGTTGTATGAATATCTGAACATGCAATATATCAAAAAGAAAGAACAGAGCCTCTTCTTTAAAAAAAATATTCTAGCTTCATGCAGTCTTTTTTTTTTTATCAGCACTTGAATATGGGTAAGTTTCATAAAAAAAGCAACTTTTTGAGCAAAAAGCTGAGATCGCATTTGTTTTCCAAAGACTACAACGTGCATAAGATGGTTTAATCGCTTGTTTCTGCTTCTTTTTTGTTCTTTTCTGTACTCTTATAACGTATACCATATAACAGTGATGACCTGTACATATTTTCTTGAGATTCTTCTCGGGTAGAGCTTTATATATATATAAATATATATATATATATATGATTACAATTAATTAGCACAACTTGTGAAGATTATAGATGGTGATCTGTGATTTCTTGTTTGTTTGGCAAGAAATCACCACTCTCTTTTCTTAGAGTTGCTATTCTTGTTCCTATAAAGCATTTATTTAAACTACAGTAGAACATATATATTAAAAAACAAATTCATTCATTCATTCTAATACATATGACCAGGGACAAAAGAGTTGGATATATTACATTTTTATTTACCGAGAGCAAAGCCAGAACATTTACAAAACCCTTTTCCCCAGGACTTTTATTTCTCACACAGCTTTTAACTGTATGACACATATGAAATGTCTCAATTATATTTTGAATATTTTTTTTTTTTTACTTGTTTCTGTATTTTGTCTTAGAATGTAAAATGGTCTGAAGGATGTTTTCATACTGATAATGACATTATGTGGGTTGAAGTAGATTTATACTTGATTTAAACTCCTGATGTTGTAATGCTGTTACAATTTAAACAAGAATGGAAAAATAAGGCAGGGATCCAATGATACAATGAAATAATCAAATAATAAATAATTGTCTTTTAGTAGTGCAATAAAATGCTGATGTCGAGACATTGATAATGTTTTACATCCATCTAGTGGAGACGGAGAGACCTGGCTTCTGATTCTACAAAACACAAAACAGCAGAAGCTCCATTAATAAACATCATGAGCCGCTCTGTGTCAGAGCGTGACTATGGTTCAGAAGAGCGTTACCTTACTGAGCTCTGGGAATAACTCCTGGAGAGCGATGTCAAGCAGCGCATACGTCATCTGTCCGCAAACCAGAGGAAAGAGAAACGGCACAATTAGCAGAAAGTGGGAGCATTTGAGGAAATGACATCAGTACGTTAGATAAGCATCTGGCAGTTCGTACCTGTTTGTTTAGCAGTGGCTGCTGAATGGCATCGAACAGCATCTTGACGCCTTCATACTTTCCTTCCTCACCGATACATTTCCCGACTAGATCTGAGAAAAAGCACACACCAGTTAGGGATTATATGGATCAAATTAAATGATATGCTGATTAATCCATATTTAAATCATAGCAATATTTGCAGAAATATGTGTTTTCTGCTCCCTTTTAAACGTTGACTCTCCTAACTAAACTACATGGTTAGTTGCATTTTTTATTTGTATTTATCACTGGTACAAATAAACCTTCAAATGACAACATAACCATAAATCTGCTGCATCTCGACAAGCAGGTCTAGCTTTTTGTTGTTTTTGGGCTCTACTAGAATAGGTTTTCATGCTTGAATGTTCAAAAATACAATTTTTTTAATATATTTGACCGTGTTGCAGCACCTCTCTTCCCAGTCTGTCAGAAACGTTTCCCGAAAGCATCGTTAGCCAACTATGGTATCAAGTTCCATCGTTATCAACATAAGCCGAGGTTCCACCGCAGGAACTTTCCCAAGGAAATAGGAACTTAGGGTGGGACTCGGTGTGTTTCCACCGCAGGAACCAGGGTCTAAATGAAAGGGTCTAAATGAAGTTCTGGGTAGAAAATTCCCCCTCTGAGAGTCCCTGCTTGCAAGGTAGTACTTTTTCAAAGCTCAGGAACTTTTGGGGGTGGGACTTGGGCACTGATTGGTTGAGTTCATGCCGCATTTTGATTGGTTGACTCCACACAGCATTTCATTTCAACTGGGAGGAGGAGTCACGCGCAGTCCTACATCACCGGACTAATTTGCCTAATCTTCACGGTACTTTAGACCGCGATGGAAACGCAGTCAGCAACAGCTCTCGGGGAAATTGTTCCGGGTAATTTCGGTGGAAATGTGGCTATAGTTGAATGATTTGACATTTCCTGAAACCATAGTTCCAACGAACATTCGCAAACAGCATCGCAAACTTACATGGTTGAAAGTACAACTCGAGCTGTGCTTAGAAGCATTCTTGTTAAATGACATGTGGACTTAAAGAGATCGTGCTCTTGGGAACAATAGGCAAGCTAACATTCAGTACATTCTATATCTTTCTTTCTATTTAAATTATATATATACACATTTTAATAAAAAAAAAATTTAAGAGTAAAATGTGCAAGGGAACTCCGGAATATGACGTATGAGGGATCCCGCGTGAATCAAACGTCAAATAAAGCAAAATGACATGGAACAAAAACAGCGAAGTAGTCATTAGGTGGCATGTTCGTTGAATAGATTTAAAAGCAGAAGTTATTACTCCACCTGCAAGTGACGTCATTAATGACAGTCCTATATTGTTGAACCAATGTGGTTCAAAGACAGAGATGGGACCATGTTACTACAGTTTTAGGAAACAGTCGTGACTAGTTGGTGTCCAACGATGCATCGCACTATGGTAGTTAATCAGTGAGTTACATCGTTGTACGGGAAACGCAACCCTGTTTAGTTCCTGTCTCTTCGAAGCCCCTCCTTCTGAAAAGCACAATGTGCTCTGATTGGTCGGCTGGATCAGTGTGTTGTGATTGGTCAACTGCTTCGAGCGTGTTACGGAAATGTCACACCCCTTACCATAACCGCGAGTTTCAGCACACTACTAAGGCTACTAAACTGTCAGTCCAAATCCGATTATTTATGTATCCGATTGGAATCTAATCCAAAATTATTGATGTCCACACTGTGTATCGCAACTGTTCCGATCCGATTTGTGTGTCCCGTGCCGCTCTTTCGTTTTCCGAAATATTTGCATTGGTTTCTATGGCAATGACGTTGTGATGGTATGCATACGTGGAAAAACAACAACCGCAACATGGAGGGGTTTGCAATATAGATGTTGTCTTATTTACAGTATGATAATGTGTATCTGCCACGCTGGACTACTGCGTCTAATGAAGCAGCAGCAGAAACATAGAGATCTCTTGGCAAAGTAACTGGTGTAGCTTCCGTGATTCAACCATAACGGGGAAAAGCTTAATTTTCAAATCTCCAAAGATGAACATGTAAAAAAAAAAAAAAGAATAATAGGCTTTTTTTAAACACGGTATGTCACAAACAAATGATAACTGCGAGGAACTATGTGGTACCTGGTAGGTATTTCATCATCTCCTCAAAGGTCTTCTTGGCTCGTCTCTGTTTTTCCTCAGGAGAGCGTTCCTCTGTGCTCTCACAGAAAATAGCATCTGCAGTATTGATAATCTGATCAGTTGAAGTACACAAATCTACCCATGATCAACAGTACAGTACAATGACTAACTGCTTCTGGAGGTACACCAACACTGCACATTCCTAATTTCTAATAAAACACACTTGATTAACCTTATCAGTGGTTTGTTTGTAGAGACTGCACTGCCTTCCACTTGAAATGATACCTTTTCTCACAGCACTTGATATAATTAAACTTATTAATTTGATGGTGGATCCAGAAAGGTTCAAACGACAATCACCAGTGACAAAGGGAGACTCACCCGGTGTAAAATGCAAAAGACTTCGGACTTCAGAGTGACTACAGAAAAAAAGAGACTGCAACCGGCACATGCGAAAACAAGGATAAATATCTGAAGGGCTTTAAATGTAGTCACGCAATGCTGATGTTGTTAACATTAACAATTTGCAAACAAAGGATAATTTGCTCGGTTTGACGTGATACAAGCGATCGTTAGATTTAATCAGCGTGATTTACTGCAATACTTTTTTTCCCTGAGTTGGTCAGAACAAAAGTGGATTTTTATTTTTATTTTCAGATGTCATTTCAGGGTCAAAATTCTTATGTTGGTCATACTTCCAAAAAGTATAATCTGTGATTCTGAATGCCAGTATCCACACCGGCACAGCGACTGACAGCTGCACTCTCCTCAAAACATCGGATTCATCCGCGCTGTGCCGTGCCGAGGTACAACTCACGTAAAGTTGATAATTTCGCGAATAACTGCAATAGAAACAGAACAGAAATGGCGACAAAGAGGAAAAACTACGGACTGCAACTTTAAAGGTTTATTATTTTATCTGTTTTGTTGTTGTTGTTTTTTTTCATAGTGTGATTTTTGGTGAATTGTATTGAATCCAATTCATAAAATAAAAAAATAAAAAATCTGTCAAAACCAGAAACTTCTTTTGCCCACTTACAGTCGAACAAACTTCCAAACATGTTGATAGTAATTCCCCTGAGGGAAAGTGCAAAGGGAAGTTAGAAAGTGGATGTTGAAAGTTAAGTGGACGCTGTCCTGAAATGCATGGGTCAGATAAGGTACTGATGGTGTGGCTCCAGGAACTAACTAACGCCATTCTGTCTGTCTGTTCGGGTAGAAGTTCTGGTTTAATGTTGTTCATGACGCGTTTAGGCAATATTTTTTTTGTAGGTTTTAGATACAGGTATTACAGTATGCATTGAAAACTTGAAGAAATGCGTTTATATAGGTGGACTTAAGCATACAAACCTCGCAACAGAGTGATGAGGGAGACGAGGCGATGCTCTTGCATGAGCTGGTCTAATTTGGACTGTAAATAATGCCCTATGCACGCCTCTAGAGTCCTCTTCAAGAGAATACGACATCCACTCAGAAAGTGATGCAGCCAATCAGGCATGCGAAACACCACACGACCTGTGGCAAAAAACAGCAGCATGAAATTATCCATTAACAACTGCGACATACTGGTGATTACCAAAAGAAGATAACTTGACTCGTCCCTCAGTGCTTAAAGAATTAAAGGGGTCATGACATGGATTTTTATTATTATTTTAATGTTTCTTGAGGTTCACTTATAATGTTAATTTAGTGATGTGTAAAAAAAATATTTTCAACCCTCTTTCTGAAAGGATCCATTTTTAAGGGGAGGTTCCTTTCATGCTGAGATCCTTCTGAAGTCTGTACAGAGACAAGCTGTTTAAACGACGCCTCAAAGCGAAAGTTCTCGACAGATTCAAGCATGTGGAGTATGTCAGAAACTGAACAATCATCTGTATACTGTATCAGTGTAGACAGCGTCAGTGATTATAAACTGAACACACACCTGTATACTGTATCAGTGTAGACAGCGTCAGTCATTATAATCTGAACACACATCTGTATACTGTATCAGTGTAAACAGCGTCAGTCATTATAATCTGAACACACATCTGTATACTGTATCAGTGTAGACAGCGTCAGTCATTATAAACTGAACACACATCTGTATACTGTATCAGTGTAGACAGCGTCAGTCATTATAATCTGAACACACATCTGTATACTGTATCAGTGTAGACAGCGTCAGTCATTATAATCTGAACACACATCTGTATACTGTATCAGTGTAGACAGCGTCAGTCATTATAATCTGAACACACATCTGTATACTGTATCAGTGTAGACAGCGTCAGTCATTATAAACTGAACACACATCTGTATACTGTATCAGTGTAAACAGCGTCAGTCATTATAATCTGAACACACATCTGTATACTGTATCAGTGTAGACAGCGTCAGTCATTATAATCTGAACACACATCTGTATACTGTATCAGTGTAGACAGCGTCAGTCATTATAATCTGAACACACATCTGTATACTGTATCAGTGTAGACAGCGTCAGTCATTATAATCTGAACACACATCTGTATACTGTATCAGTGTAGACAGCGTCAGTCATTATAATCTGAACACACATCTGTATACTGTATCAGTGTAGACAGCGTCAGTCATTATAAACTGAACACACATCTGTATACTGTATCAGTGTAGACAGCTTCAGTCATTATAATCTGAACACACATCTGTATACTGTATCAGTGTAGACAGCGTCAGTCATTATAATCTGAACACACATCTGTATACTGTATCAGTGTAGACAGCGTCAGTCATTATAAACTGAACACACATCTGTATACTGTATCAGTGTAGACAGCGTCAGTGATTATAATCTGAACACACATCTGTATACTGTATCAGTGTAGACAGCGTCAGTCTTTATAATCTGAACACACATCTGTATACTGTATCAGTGTAGACAGCGTCAGTGATTATAAACTGAACACACATCTGTATACTGTATCAGTGTAGACAGCGTCAGTCATTATAATCTGAACACACATCTGTATACTGTATCAGTGTAGACAGCGTCAGTGATTATAAACTGAACACACATCTGTATACTGTATCAGTGTAGACAGCGTCAGTCTTTATAATCTGAACACACATCTGTATACTGTATCAGTGTAGACAGCGTCAGTCATTATAATCTGAACACACATCTGTATACTGTATCAGTGTAGACAGCGTCAGTGATTATAAACTGAACAACACATCTGTATACTGTATCAGTGTAGACAGCGTCAGTGATTATAAACTGAACACACATCTGTATACTGTATCAGTGTAGACAGCGTCAGTCATTATAATCTGAACACACATCTGTATACTGTATCAGTGTAGACAGCGTCAGTGATTATAAACTGAACACACATCTGTATACTGTATCAGTGTAGACAGCGTCAGTCACTATAAACTGAACACACATCTGTATACTGTATCAGTGTAGACAGCGTCAGTGATTATAAACTGAACACACATCTGTATACTGTATCAGTGTAGACAGCGTCAGTCACTATAAACTGAACACACATCTGTATACTGTATCAGTGTAGACAGCGTCAGTGATTATAATCTGAACACACATCTGTATACTGTATCAGTGTAGACAGCGTCAGTCATTATAATCTGAACACACATCTGTATACTGTATCACTGTAGACAGCGTCAGTCTTTATAATCTGAACACACATCTGTATACTGTATCAGTGTAGACAGCGTCAGTCATTATAATCTGAACACACATCTGTATACTGTATCAGCCTAGACAGCGTCAATCATTATAATCTGAACACACATCTGTATACTGTATCAGTGTAGACAGCGTCAATCACTATAAACTGAACACACATCTGTATACTGTATCAGTGTAGACAGCGTCAGTGATTATAATCTGAACACACATCTGTATACTGTATCAGTGTAAACAGCCTCAGTCATTATAATCTGAACACACATCTGTATACTGTATCAGTGTAGACAGCGTCAATCACTATAAACTGAACACACATCTGTATACTGTATCAGTGTAGACAGCATCAGTCATTATAAACTGAACACACATCTGTATGCTGTATCAGTGTAGACAGCGTCAGTCATTATAATCTGAACACACATCTGTATACTGTATCAGTGTAGACAGCGTCAGTCATTATAAACTGAACACACATCTGTATACTGTATCAGTGTAGACAGCGTCAGTCATTATAATCTGAACACACATCTTTATACTGTATCAGTGTAGACAGCATCAGTCATTATAAACTGAACACACATCTGTATGCTGTATCAGTGTAGACAGCGTCAGTCATTATAATCTGAACACACATCTGTATACTGTATCAGTGTAGACAGCGTCAGTCACTATAATCTGAACACACATCTGTATACTGTATCAGTGTAGACAGCGTCAGTCATTATAATCTGAACACACATCTGTATACTGTATCAGTGTAGACAGCGTCAGTCATTATAATCTGAACACACATCTGTATGCTGTATCAGTGTAGACAGCGTCAGTCATTATAATCTGAACACACATCTGTATACTGTATCAGTGTAGACAGCGTCAGTCTTTATAATCTGAACACACATCTGTATACTGTATCAGTGTAGACAGCGTCAGTCTTTATAAACTGAACACACATCTGTATACTGTATCAGTGTAGACAGCGTCAGTCATTATAATCTGAACACACATCTGTATACTGTATCAGTGTAGACAGCGTCAGTGATTATAATCTGAACACACATCTGTATACTGTATCAGTGTAGACAGCGTCAGTCATTATAATCTGAACACACATCTGTATACTGTATCAGTGTAAACAGCCTCAGTCATTATAATCTGAACACACATCTGTATACTGTATCACTGTAGACAGCGTCAGTCATTATAATCTGAACACACATCTGTATACTGTATCAGTGTAGACAGCGTCAGTCATTATAATCTGAACACACATCTGTATACTGTATCAGTGTAGACAGCGTCAGTCATTATAATCTGAACACACATCTGTATACTGTATCAGTGTAAACAGCCTCAGTCATTATAATCTGAACACACATCTGTATACTGTATCACTGTAGACAGCATCAGTCACTATAATCTGAACACACATCTGTATACTGTATCAGTGTAAACAGCCTCAGTCATTATAATCTGAACACACATCTGTATACTGTATCACTGTAGACAGCGTCAGTCATTATAATCTGAACACACATCTGTATACTGTATCAGTGTAGACAGCGTCAGTCATTATAATCTGAACACACATCTGTATACTGTATCAGTGTAGACAGCGTCAGTCATTATAATCTGAACACACATCTGTATACTGTATCAGTGTAGACAGCGTCAGTCATTATAATCTGAACACACATCTGTATACTGTATCAGTGTAGACAGCATCAGTCATTATAAACTGAACACACATCTGTATACTGTATCAGTGTAGACAGCGTCAGTCACTATAAACTGAACACACATCTGTATGCTGTATCAGTGTAGACAGCGTCAGTCATTATAATCTGAACACACATCTGTATACTGTATCAGTGTAGACAGCGTCAGTCATTATAATCTGAACACACATCTGTATACTGTATCGGTGTAGACAGCATCAGTGATTATAATGGCTTCTATTTGCTTTTGACACGACGCTCACATCCAGTGTAGGCAAATATCAGCAGTGAAGCACCTGAACGCCAGTGGGCGGGGCCTGCGGTGTGATGATGCATCAGTATTCGCCGATGTCTTGCTCTGGAGGCAGTCATATGCACATGTATTTTCCCATGTGACATCACAGATCCCGCAATATCCAAACGAGCTGTTTTTGGAGCTTGATTAAATAAATGCTTTGTTTATAATGAGAAGGATGTTTTAATGTTACAAAGACCTCTTGTATGTCAAAAGATCAAGGCAAACTTGATTTCTCATGTCATGACCCCTTTAAAAAGTTTCACGTCTCATTTGGTTTCTACATATGTGATTAACCAATGCCATCTTGAGTCTGTTATTCACACAAAGCTATCATGCGTCTTCAAGAGACTTGGAGAAAAGTCATATGGACTACTTTTAATACACTTTCATGATCCAAACATGGTCACTATGAACTGATACTTTTTTTGTTTTTTGTTAAAAAAAATTATAATAACATCAAACAGGTGAATACATTTTCATTAGTTGTCGAACTACTCAAAGGATGTGTATACCTTCTGTATTTGCTCATCAAATGTTTTACACAATATAAGAGTTTTTTTTATCGTTTGGATGAATAAACTCAAGTTTGTTTGAATTACATACACTCACCTATGAACATCATATAGTCATATGAACCATCAACCTCCATCAGCTCCATGAAGTAGTTCTGGTTGTGTTTTCTCTCTACGCCTTCAGGCAGATTGGCATTGTTTCTGTACACCTCATTGAACAGCTAAAATGACATGAGGAGAAATTGTATTTATTATATTAAAGATACACAGACAATATGACAGTATGATTTCTTTATTTACTCATTTTAAATGATTTGTGATCAGTAAATGGATGTCCAAGAAGACTATTCCTTGTTTATTGAAGAATACAGTTTATATAGTGAATCTTTCAATGAAAGTGTACCAGTGACCTGTACAAAACAAGGTTTAGCCCAAATAATATTTCAACTTCACCTTCAGATATTTCAAATTTGTAATATGTCACTTTCTTGTAATAATTAATAATGTAATAATAATGTAATAATGTAATAATTCTTGTAAAATCATTTTGTTCTTATCAATTATAAGGCTAGAACAAATATTACCAATACTTAGAAAATCTAAGAATAACCATTTCAAATTGCATGAATAATTTTACTGTAGTAATGTAAAGATTTAATTGAGACTTAAATTTGCCTTTCTTAAACTTGGTACACAACTCCAGTGATCGTCTATTAAAAGGACAGATAATTATGTAAAACTGGGCTTTTAAGCAGCTGTTCAGAATTTGTGTAGAGTATACATGTGCTACAATGGTATAAATGGTTAAATGTATTTTTTATAGTGATAAAGCAGCCAGAAAAGTATTTTCGTTCACATATATATATATATATATATATATATATATATATATATATATATATATATATATATATATATATATATATATATATATATTGAAATTAAAAATATATACTTTAGTTTTATTATAGTTTATAGTTTGATTATAGTATTACATTTTTTTATATTTTTAGTTTTCATGCTAATTAGTCTTTTTTTTATTTTGTGCTTTAGTCATTTTATTAGTTTCTTTTTAAAATATTGCTTTTTAGGTTTAGTTTATTTTTATTTCAGTTTTAGTTAGGTAGTTGTAGATTTATTTATTTGTTGTTAATAATTTTAGTGTTTCAACGTAAACTTATTTCAATTTATTGCCATGGAAACATTTCTAATGTTCATTTAATTGAAATTTTTCAACTAATATTTATTTTCTTTTATTTCAGCTTCATTTCAATGAACAGTTTTAAATCCAGATCATTTTAGCTTTAGTAAACAACAATAACCCTGCTTCATACAGCGTCTTTTTCGGCATTAAAAATACAATGTTCCACAGAAACTTTTTGTTCACAAATAACACATTTTCCAGAAAATGATCCACATATTCAATACTTAATAGAACTTAAGGGGTTATGGAAATACTTTTTTTTTTTTTTTTTTGAGTAGCAAGCGTACCTTTTTATTATTTTCTGCAGTGGGGCTGAGGATGGTGAGCTCAGGCCTGCTGGGTTTGGGTTTAGGAGATTCACAGGAACTGAAGAAAGACTGGATAAATGGCTCCAGGTTTTGCCCTTTCTACAGAAATCAGCGAGAATAGACATCATGGAGTCATATGAAAATCATTCTACGCTTGTCAAATTTTGTGAAAAAAAGTTCTTCATCAGAAGATAGATGTGTGTGAAATTTTATTTACTTCATTGTTTCCTCGTCACATTTGTAACCGAACTAACACATTAAGACAAATACTAGTAGATCTACATTTTAAATATCAAAACAAAGAGAAATGAATGCAAAGTGTATAATTTTTGCATCACCAATCAGAATTACACAAATAATGACTGTTGTCAAACAGGTTACCGGAACGTCCCAAGACTTTCATTAGGTCAAACAAGACAGTCCTGCCCCAATAAAGTAATAAAGAAATTAGAATAATAAGCAAGCCTGAAAGTGTACATCTGGAAAAAGAGAACATTTGGACATAATGACAGCACTCAATGGTACAGTCCTGTTCCAAGGGATGAGTATCGTTAAGGTTTTAACAGAATTACTACTCTTAGCGATCCGGTACTTTATCGGTATTCTTATCGATCTTTTTGTTATATTTATTATTAAAAAAAGAAAAGAAACAAATTAAGAACATAATTAACATTGCTTTATATTCTGAAATGTAAAATCTTTTTGTAAATGCACCAGTGTGCAGGCATTTTTTGTGTATACAATAAGAACACAGAAACAAAGTACAAACAAATGGTCAAATAAATACAAAAAATATACAATAAACCAAATGATACGGCCTACAATACTATATATAATACTATATATGGCCTACAAGATAAATCTAATAAGGTAATCAAATAACACTTCATAGTTTTCGCTGTATAAATTGATATTAATGCTAAGTTATGCATTCAAGAGCTGTTAGTAATTTTCTCTTTGCCTTTTGTTGTTTGATTCACATTAATGGCGCAATCGTCAGCAGGTTTATTAGGCCACTGCCACTTTAAGACCGAAGGCAGATAATATACATCATATTTTCTCCCAACTATTTACACCCATTTAAGACATAAACTGTATTTAAGTAAATAATCTCAGAGCCGGTCATTTTGAAATATGCGAGTGTTTATTTGTTCGTTTAGACGTGCACACGAAGCTAGTGAGAAGTATAATTTGCTTATAGTTGCTGTCAGCTTCGGAACGCGCACACATAAACCGACTTGAAGTTGGAAACAGTGTCTCTTGCGCAGATTCTTGTGCTTTTAATAGCTCTTTTTATTAGCAAACACGTCCCGCCATTTAGCAACAGTTAAAACCGCATTTTACAGCAATCACCAATTGTGCGGATTCTGACGTTAAGTTTGAGTTTTAGGGAGGAACGAATGCGCACCGCTGTGAAGGGAAGGAAGTTGTGCTAGACAAAACGCGGCTAGTTTTTAATAGTTTTCCCTCAAATATCTTCTGTTTATAATCCTTGGAAGCCAAAATAAAATTAGATTAACATCACAGGCCTAAAGTGTAACTATACGTTTGAATGTTTATTTCTCTCTGTCATCGTCAGTTATTAAGCAGGGACTTTCGTGTTGTGTGCGCTGTGGCTCGGCGTGAGAGATCGGTCTCTTCTGGATTGCGAATAGCAAAAATGCATCACAGACGAATGGTTTAATATTATCGCAAAGCCTATAGAAATGTCTGGTAAGATAGAATTTACAAGATAACGTCTATATATAGCAATAATAAATAGTATAGTATTTTCTTAATTTCTCTAGTACCGACAGCAGAACCGGTAACGTCGGAGCTTATCAATACTGCCTTAAACCTTACCTTCTTTCTTAGGCAAGTAAGAACAGGTAAGTGCACGTATGACCGTTTATGTGACAATGGTAACATAAAAGACAAGTTGGACAGCTTTCCTGAACAGGCAGGGATATGTGTCAGTTTAACACGGATTCACTACCCCACATTAAGAACTTCAGGAAGGCAACACCCGGAAAACTAACTTGTGTCAAACGTTATTAGCACCCAGCTAAACATGAACATCGAACCAGTTAGTCAACTGCACCACTGGCACACACTTCTGAGGAGGCTTTTGACACTGACATGGAGGCTGAAGTTAGAGTTTACCATTCAGAATCGTAATTAGTCGTAATCGTAAACGACTTTAAGAATTGGTTTAGGAATCGGTTTAAAAATCGTAAACCATGTATCCCAATCGTGATTAGTTATTATTGAAGTTAACTGGCATTGCATTTTTGAGTTAACTATTGGCAATATTTTAGAAAGGCCATATTTCCGACAACTAGCCTAAACAAAGCTGTTTATATGAACGGAATGAATCGGCCAAATCCGATTGAGATTTAATTTGGAATGTAAGGGCTGGTTTAAACCCTTTTAATCTCTTCGATAGGACTTGTAAACACTGGATCGCATTGAAAACTGAAACTGGAAAGTTCTGTGCGTGTGCAATGGTGTACAGTAGAGATGGTGTAATGAGGTATGACGCACAGAACGAGCTGTTGTTGTTGAATATGGTGTTATAAATGACTGTCTAAAATTCTTCCACTAATGTGAAGTGGTGAAGGACAACATTGTCCCACAGGTTCTTGCATCAGGTTCTCATCCACAGACGCCTTGTTTTGGCCACGGGAAGATGCATTTTACTGCTGGATAAATATATGCAGCACAGCAAAAAGCTTGATGTGCTCGTCGTCTCATAATTAGGACCCAAAATAGATAAATATTAAGTCTGCTTTTTAAAAAGAAAAGTAGCAATGGTCGGAGGATAGTTTGCGTGTGCCAACAGCAGGAAACTCAGCACATTCGTTCAGTGAGCACATGTCAAAGATAAAAACCCGATGTGAAGCGTGTGATATAAAAGCACACACATAACCCGATCACTTTATTCAGCGTTCATGTAAACTGTTCGGATTCATCAATCGGAATGATTTTCGTGCGTTTGAAACAAAAAGTGTCCACGTAAAGGTAACTAATGACTATTTGGGAATAACATGACCCAAGTACGAAGTGAAGTAGCCAAAAAAGTTGTTTCAGAAGTTTTCTTTTCTTTGTGGACCGGTTCTGCTTAGCCCGTCCTGTGCAGGGCTCACACCAGCTATAGTCGGCATGGCAGATGTGCACACAAACAAAGGCTGCTAAAGACCAGCTGGACACCATACTTTTGGAGAAATGTGAAACGATGAACTGTTCAAAAGACTAGGAATTTCATTGTGCTTTACAGTGGAAATTCACAGAATATAAAATACAAATTCTTACCTCTTTCATTAGTTTTCCTGGCACAGACTTAAATATCTTCCCTGCAGAGAAAAACAAAAAATTCAATCAAGTGAATAAATTGAATTCAGAGTCCACTTTTCCTATGTTTTATAGACTTTCCAGTGTTTACAGTTTTTGGCCTCGGTTTGTTAAACTTCCCCCTAATTCTAAGTATTACACTTTGGGACTCCCTCCGTAATTCCTAACAGATGCTGTCAAGTTGTGTCAGACTGGATAAGGAAAGCATGTGGGATTGAAGTTAAAGTAATTGAGCTGAGTTTCTCACGGACAGGAATTAAAGAACCGAGAATCACTGTGTGTTATATATCACTGTCAAGCACTGCAGAAAACCTCCTCTTGAGCAGTGTGTTGGGCTAGCCCTCAACGGCCCACAGCTGCTGAAAGTACACTGAAAACCCCTTGTTGCAGCATTTTCACAATATTGACCCAATAGGGATATATGTGGCGGAAGCAGAATACCTTATTCGGAAAGGCTCGGATAATGGCTTCGAAACAAATAATTCTGCTGAACAACAGAAACAAATATTCGGCTGGATAACAGATGAGCCAGGGGAAAACATAAACAACCACACAGTTGTTGTCTCAAACACTGTTTAACTCATGTTGTCTAAATGATTCATGGGCTTCCTGAAAACTCTCCAAACACATTCCTTTCCCCCACGACTGACTGTTATCTAGCAAGACTACGACCCAACTTCACCAGCCTGGACAACTTTCAATGCAAAGCCGTTTTTGTGCATGATAGTTGGTGCCGGATGACCGGAGCACCAGAGGATGATTAGGACCCAAAGGAAACCCCATCACTGGCATAACGGACAGGATTCTGACACCAGTTGACCCATTACGCTTACCCTGAAATTTTGGGTAAGCTGATCTAGTTGGCTCTGTTGCTGCTTTAATATCCCCTTTAACTCAACCAATTCTAGAGGCATAACACTAGGAATGACAATGCAGAACGACTGCAGTCTACTTACCCATACTGCCTCAAATTCCCGGTAACGCTTCCTTTTACAGTCCTGTTACCCATGTACTTACTATGTACTTATTATAGTAATTATAATTACTGGGTAATAACTAGGTACTAACCCTGAACCTACCCCTAACCCATGTACTTACCTTATATTAGCCAGTACTAGGTAAGTACACTGCAAGTACACGTAAGTACTGTAAAAGGAAGCGTTACCAAATTCCCAATAGGAACATTTAACAAGTTGCACACAGATGTATTACATACAAATAGCTTAAGCTCCCTACGAAGAGCACAAATACAAACATTCTCCACAGACTGATCACACAGAAGTGTGTCTACATTGTGTAATTAGGGGCATTTTTTAAACTTTCTCCATTAAACCAAGAAATGCATGTAAGAACTCCTGCAATGTCAGTAAAACATGCAAACATTGTACGTTTAGAGGTACAGCAGTTCCCTTAAAGGAACAACTTTATACCTTATCCACTACTAAAGACAACCTTTGTCTTTAGGATTTATTTGATAGGGTTACTAAAGTAATGACAAAAAGGGAGCTTCAACAAGTTCAGACATTTCCCAAAAGCAGCAATGACTTTATGAATTTCTTTACAAGACTGATCCTATTTTTATAACAATGCAACCGACATCTACGGCATTGCATCAGATAGTGTAGTGTAAATCCCCATGAGGAACAATTCCAATCATAGTTGCTATGGGAGAGGAAGAATAAAAAAAAATTGTCCCAAAAATTGTTTCCATTTGAATTAAGATTATTTTTCTTACTCCATTAGCAGATGATTTTTCTTGTTTTGTTTTGTTTTGTTTTTCAGAAAACAAGATTATTAGTATTTATTTATTTTTGCCATTACTTATCTGTGTAAATGCCTCTAGATTTAAGAATTTTTAGATATTTGGACTGGAAACAAGACAAAAATACTAAGTAAGAAAAACATTTTTGCAGTGTATAATTGTGCAATGACAAAATGCGCAATGACCTTCCTGTTGATTTCCAAAGAAGAAAGCCTCCAATAATGGTTTGCATGAACATAATGATAATGTTCACATAATGATAACAATGTTCTTGCAAGATAGTCATTTTTACAGGATCCTCCCTTTCATCCTTTCATCCAGAGAACGACATGTACATCTCCACCTAGTTTCCTCCAGTAATGGTAAAAGTCGTGGGGCTTCATTAATCAACAGGGCGTACGCACAGATGTGTGTGTAATGAGTGCGTAAGAACAGTTTCACAAAAAGTGTAGCATCTACCAACTTGAACTTACATGTAGGAATGTGTGTAAATATAAGCACAACTGTGCTGCCGCGTGTTTCCTGTGTCCTTTAAATACAAATTTAATGCAAATACTCATTAGTAATGTCATTGTTCAAGCTATACATTTGCATAATTGGTGTGGAAAGCTATAAAAGACTGCTGGGAAGTAATTTGAAATGTAGCTATAGTGTCAAGGCTGATCTCACTTTGCTGTTTTTTGTCTACTCCAGTCCAGTAGCAGATATTTCCCATTTGTATGTTGTGACCTTTTTTTGTGGCAGCCGTTTTAAGGTCAAACCCTTTCTTTTTTATTCCTGGCGGTGTTTTTTCCTCTGACCCAACAGAATTAACAGCAGCCGTTTTTTTCTCCCATGTACAGTTTTTCTTTTGTTTATGCCTGAAGTGACTGGCTCAAATAACACTTTGTGGTTTTCTTCCCCTTGGCTCACCAGCACTTCTGTTTCTGAGAAGTTTCTCTTTTCCGCCCTCTTTGCCATGATTTTGGTGAATGCATTCTCGTGATTTATAAAGGGAGGTGTTGTGACTGTATATGGTTCATTGGAGACGTTTCTGAATGCAAATGAACATAAACGTGAACGAGCACGGTGCTTAAGAAAATGTGGGATTTATCAACAATGATTTCTTGTAGAAATATAGAACCTTTTCTACGCACTGTTGATAAATGAGGCTCCTGGGGCCTGATGTATAATGGTGTGTTCACACCGAACGCGAATAGAGCGTCAAATACGCGTCTATCGCGTCTAGTTAGACGCTTGAACATTCGCTCGAGTTCAAATTTTTAAACTTGCGCAGAAGACATTTGCGGCAAACGCGTCGCCCAATTCGCGTCATTCGCAACGCCCGGTGCGAATGATGCGTCTATTCGCGTCTTTGCATTGACTTTGTATGTAATCTACTCGCGCAAATAATTAAATTCGCATTCGGTGTAAACACACCATAAATGTTGCGTAAGCAAAAAAATGCATTGAAATGTGCGTACACAATTTTCCACGCACATAAGGATTTAGAAAAAATAAACTAGGCATAAAAATGAGCGCACCGTACGGACACTCTAGACCGCACGTACACACTCTTTTACTGGAGTGAGCGAAGTAAACAGAATGATTTAAACTGCTTTACATCTGATATACACATTTACATTAAAGTGCCCCTATTATGCTCCTAATGCTCCATAAGTTTCCTAATGTTGTTTTGGAGTCTCCTACAACAGGTTTACATGCATCAAAGGTCAAAAAACTGTTTCATTTCCTCATATTTTGCACATTTTCAATGATTCTCAAGCGATCTCTCCAAATCCCTCCTTTCCGCGAGCTACTCTGCTCTGATTGGCCAGACAGCTCAGTCTGTTGTGATTGGTCTACCGTGTACAGTGTGTCGAAAACAAAAACACCCATTGCCATAACGTCAGCTCTGCTTGTCCTGAGGCTTCCTACACCGTAAACTAAACACAGTAACGAACAATGACGTCGATTTTACCATATCAATACGAGCGCGAGTCCAATAACAAAACATCGGATAATCTGCATTAATACACACAGTTTTAGGTAATAGTGGCCCACAGCTGATCAGCAGAAGTATTTCAGTAAGACAGTAATAATGTGAGTTAGCCAGAAGCAGGAGTATATATAACATCAATATAAAATCAAAACTAAGTATTTTGAACACCATCTTTCAAGAGAAAACGGTTTGCGAATCCCACATTTAACTCCGAGATTTGAAGCAATCGTCAGTAAAATAAAATAAAGGGAACACAGCAAAAGTTTAGGATCACACTGCTGTGATATCGTGGTAAAGATGAACTTCAACCACTGATTCTTCTTGAAAAAAACTTCACATTGTAGAGCACAGTGTCTTCTCGACATGATGCTGTCCAGCATCCACAGGAATCAGCTGCAGTGTTTGAGGTTCAAGTTTTCCCTGGTGTCTGCGCGCGCATTAAGTGGGCTGGGAATATGCTAATGCCTCGTCTTGACGTCACGACGAAACGGCTTATCACTCGTTTGAAAACCGATTCATTTCTTTGACTCCGAGTCGACTCTTACTTTTGAAAGACAATAACTTTATATACGGTGTACTTTCAGATTTAAAACTTTGCAGGATGTTCTCATTCACTTAGAGCTATGCTACACACTACATGAAAGCTCATTTTCAAAACTCCATAATAGGGGCACTTTAAGTATGCCACTCTCATTAAATGGAGTTAAGCACTGAAATTCCATGAAGCAATTATCCAGAAGTTAGGCTATAATATTTTTTTATTTTAATTTAAATATTTCTAGTGGATGCGCTGCTTTTGCATTTATGCATTTGGCAGAGGCTTTTATCCAAAGCGACTTACATTGCATTTTAAGCTACACATTTACATTCTTATCAGTTCTTGCTTTCCCTGGGAATTGAACCCATGACCTTGGCGTTGCAAGTGCCAACGCTCTGCTGTTCGAGCTACAGGAAAGCACTTTTCCTGTGGAATGCACTTTTGAACACTTTTCCTGTGGAATGCTGTGTTTTAATGCTTTAACTACAGCGATGATGTGCACTTACTTGGTCTAAGAGATATGGCTTAGCAACATACACAGAAAGCCTCTGCTCACGCAGGTGCTGTTGGTGTCGTCCGCAGACAGACAGGAGCCCAGTGGTAACCTTTTTCCGGCTCTTCCCAATCTAATGAAAAATACTGTTGTATTTGAAGGATAGAATTTGAAGGAAACGGTAATATATGTGTGGTCGATTTGGTTTGACACACACTGTGTTTAATA